AGGCATCTGAAGGGCTATTTGCCAAAGGAGGTGTGGATGTGGAAGGCCACTGGTGGCATCCTGTGTGCCCTGGGGCTCAGCTGTTTCCCTCTGTACTTGCAGTAAGCTGTCTCATCTGTCACCTGCAGCTCCAGGAGCTCGCCCTGAGGTCCCATCCCATGTCCCTTTCCTGCTCATTGGTGGAGGAACCGCTGCTTTCGCTGCTGCCAGATCCATCCGGGCGCGTGACCCCGGAGCCCGGGTAAGAGCTGTTCTGCTCCAGAGCAGACCTGTGGGTGGCTGAACGCAGTGCTTGCTCCAGAGCCTCTATGAATTGCCATTTGCCTGCCATCGCTCCAGCTGATGTCTTTCCTGACCAATGAAAGGTGCTGATTGTGTCTGAAGATCCTGCCCTGCCCTACATGCGTCCACCTCTTTCCAAAGAGCTGTGGTTTTCTGATGATCCCAACGTGACAGAGACTCTGCGGTTCAAGCAATGGAATGGCAAGGAGAGGAGGTATGTGGCACTGCAGGTGGCAAGGCTGAAGGAGAGTGTTTAGTGACAAGGTGACAATGATCACACTGTTGTTGGAATGAACCACAAGCCAGTGGAGCACTAAGGAGCACAGAAAGGTGTGTTGGTGCTGGCAGGGGTTGAGGAGTGCTGCTTCCCACCTGAGTTAGCTCAGTACTTGATACCTCTTGAACCTTGCTGTGATTCCCTTTGATACGCCCCACCATAGGCAGGAATCCTGTGAAATGAGTTAGTAAAGGTGAAGCTCCACAGGTCAGAGCAGAGCTCCAGGGACCTTGGATCATGTTTGATTCTTGGGACTTCTGTGATTAACCATTGGATTTGACTGTTGGACTTGATGATCTTAAAGGTCTTTTCCAACCTGACCAATTCTATGATGCTGTGATCCAAACCCTTGAACTCCAACAGTGGGAAGACCTTAATTCTTAAAAATTGTTATGGATGCACAGAGTTGTCTTTGTCTTGTTGGAATTGCTGAATAGCTGGATCATTGGTATCCCAGAGCAAGTGGAACCCGTTTGATAATGGAGCTTTTCTCAGTATCTATTTCCAGCCGCCGTCGTTCTACGTGCCTGTCCGGGACCTGCCTTTTGTAGAAAATGGTGGGGTGGCGGTTCTGTGTGGCAAGAAGGTGGGTACAGCACTGGCTCTTGTTCCTACAGCTCTTCCCAAGCAGAGCCTGGGCTCTAAGCTGGTGCTGAACCATTGGAGGTGGTGGGAGTGGCAGTTGGCTGGGAAAAGGGGATGTGTACAGTAATCTTAAGTGAAGTTTGAAAAGGGGAGAAGCCAAAGGAATCACAGTGAGCTGAGGGAGGATGATGAGGAAGAGAGAAGGATAAGTCTGGAGTCTGGGCATGGGACAAGAATATGTAGAGTTTAGAGACAGGGTGTGACAAACAGGAACTGGGCTGTGTCAGCTGGAGGGTGAGGTGAGGAGGGCACAGTGGGCCAGGTAGGGGGTAATGAGCTGAGCAGGGGCACTGCAGAAGCAGCAGGAAGGTGGAGAAGTTTACGATGAGGATTCTAATATCCTCAGGTTTTTATATCTTGCTAACATAAGATGTCAGTGACTTCTCTTC